GGTACTGTACACATGCGCGTAATTTGGATCGGATTACTTGTAGTTTGCATGTAAACAGAGATTTTCCATCAGATTGTTGAGTAGAGTGAGCATATAAACACCTCAGTCTTAATCTATAATCAGAAGGTATTCAATCAGATTGGCAAAAATCTTTGCATGTAAACATAGCCAAGGTAGACCAACCCTGAGTTTAGCCTAAGTCCAGTGTCTGGAAAACTGGTCCTTAATGTTTGTATGTTCTTTTCTGCAAAGATTCCTTTGTAGATCAGATTTATAGCCTGTTGTCAGACATGTTGACTACAAACACCATGTTTTCTAATGACATTCTGTTTATACTCTTTGTTCGGCCTTTAGAAGCAGTGCATCTAATGCCAGAAGAGAATGTCATGGAATTGTATGCAGTGTTTGTTCTCTAGTGATGTTGTCTTCCACTCCCTCTCCCATTTCCCTTTTTATTCCTTGACATGATTTAGCTTTAACCAGGTGAATGATATTGTGCAGAGACATACTCTTGCCTCTCTGGCCTCTTGGAGTTGCTAGAAGGATCAGTGTTAGTGGGTGTGGTGCTGGTTCTGGACAGAACTACAGACTGAACTGTGATATGAGCCTTACGTGCTGGCAGTGTTGCTGCCTCCAAGGCTTGGAGGCCATCTGCCGCAAGTTAAATTTAAAGCAGCCAGTGAAAGACAAGTCCTGTGTGAGGAGCCCTCATCACTGCAGGCTTCAGGTTACATTCAGCGATTGCAGCGAGGAAAAGAGCTCTCACATGTGAGAGTGCAGGTGCAGATTTAAACCTGTCTGAGGCCCTCACTGCTCACCATTCATTCTTACCATGCAGTGAATGGTGTTCAGGTTAGTATTTGTTCACAGTTAGTGTCATGCTGGACAGTATTGGTAAAATTCAGTATCACAATATTATATCACCATGTCAGATGAAGTTTGCATTAATAATGTTAATGAACTCATATTTCCTAAGTACTGGTGCCCTATGCTAAAACAACATCCTTCAAAACTTGACATACGCTTGTTTTGATTAGACCGTTTGATTTGCTCTGTTGTTCTGTTCACAGCTGCCAGAACAATGGGGGCATTTGATCCACCACTTTTTGACTGAGTTCAGACAGCTTATTTAAAAACAAAGCAAAACAAAAAACCTCCACTCTCCAACCGCAAAGGCTGCTGACCTATACACACAAGCAGACAGACAGTCAAAGGGGCAAAAAAAATGATAATCTGTAGTTCAGCTAGAGGGTGAGACACTTCCCAAAGGTTGAAGGCTACCCGTTTTTGTGTTTAGTGATAGGACAATGCCGCTTATTAATCTAGTTAGCCTACCTCACTATGTGAAAGTTATTAAATGGCATTTCTTACCATGCTAAGCTAGAATTTGATGTTCTTCAGACATATGAGCAAGCAACTTAGAGAACCCAGTGAACTTTGCAACCCCCTAAACCCCTGAAACTTTTCATGAAAATGTTTATTGGGACATTATGGTATTATTGTATTATGGTATTATTGTATTATAACTATTACAGAGGCCATACTGTCGCATACAAAAATTTGAACACCCCTGATCAAATCACATACAAATTACATCAAATTACAACATGACATTTTTCTACAAATGTTAGTGAACAATTTCTGTTTATTTGCAAAGATAAATGTATGTGTTTGTGTGTAAGCATCACTCCTTCAGGTGCTGAAAGTTGTTATGTAAGAGGAATATGATATGGTTAAAGCAGGGAGCACACAGTAGCAGGGGTCTTTACACTATAGATGGGCACTACCCTCGTCAAATGACATACAAATTACAGCATGGCATTTTTCTGCATGTTAAATTCAGCTAGTAAACAGTAATTTTGCAATAAACTGTGCAGAAGTGTGTTCTCTGTAGAGGATGTGTGAACTTACCGTCATTTAGAAAATCAAAAAAACATTTGACCAGGGGTGGCCAAACTTCTGCATACATGCTGAGTTAGTAAGTTGTCAGTCGGTTAGTTCTAGTTCCCAGAGCACGTTCAGAAAAAACCTTTAGCCAAGGCTTTTCGAAATGACACCAAAGGGAATCTTACATGCACTAGAAAAATGGTGCTTTGACTTGACATGACAAACTGGTCGCACATAATTAAGATGTATTACATGAACACAGTAAAGCAGTAGAAATCAGTTGATGTAGCATATTCTTATTGTGTTCAACCACTTGACATAATATAATCATAAGCTGTTTTTTGCATAGTTCTCTAAATATCAACCACACCAAACCAGATTTTGCTATCTATCAATACTGTTAAAACTGAAAAACAGTATTGTTGTGTGATACCAATGCAGTACTGTGAGAAGCATTGTCTGTGAGAGGTATTGATTTAACCTGTTTTAATTTGGGGATTCTGCAAAGCCATGTGTTTACAAGAGATTGAATTAAGCTGATATTAATGTGCTCATTAGGATTTAGCATAGATTCCAAATTAAAATTGATTAATGTGACTGATGATGTACTGTGAGAAATGAGGCAGTCTCTTTAATTCACCCATGGCTGGCCTTGGGTGTTTATTTCTGTGTTTTCTCATAGTAGTTCTGTGTGTGTGTATGTGTGCACTGTGCAGGGGAAGTGTTATCATATTTTGGCCTGGACTCAGACATTGTCGTGCAATACTACCGGATGTGTGTAACATGGCTAATGTTCCATACTGCTCCCACCAGCCAATAGCAGCCCAGCGGCCATGGAAAATATGCCTACCATATCCTGAGCAACATTCCTCTGTTATTGTTTGGATTTTGTATTAGAACGTGGTCAGTGTGGGAGCCATCAGTGGTAGACGGGGTTTGCATGTGTGTGTTGTGAGGTGTATGTGGGGAGAGTGCCTGTGCATGTAAATGTGTGTGCATGTGTGTAAGCATCATTCCTTCAGGTGCTTAAGGTTGTTATGTAAGAGGACTATGAGATGGTTATAGCAGGGAGCACACCGGAGCAGGTGTCTTTACATTGCAGATGGGGACTACCCTGGTAGCGATTACGTTCTGAAGAACAGGCTCTTCTTTGATTTTATCTGAGATGGTGGACGTTAGATGTCTAGAGTTATTTTTGTTGTTTTTCTCTACATTGCCCGCTCTTATTACATATTTATTTAAATGTAATTAGATAATAATTACATACATATACATTTACAGTAACACTTTCTGTTTTTTTTTTTCGTTTTGGATGTCAAACAGTGGCAATAACATAGCAAATTATATTTCAAATCATAGTATGATATGCTTTTATACATTTGCATCTGGTACAAATAGACAATACACAGAGATTACAAGACATTTTTTGGGCACAGTTGCAAGTTATTTTAATATGTTCAAGATTAGTGTTTTCGATCTGGTCAAGCTGAACCATATTGAGGCTAGAATGCTCTGGGTTCTGATCATTCCACCCAGTAGGGGGCAAAAGCAAATATGGTATTGATTAAAAGTTTGAAATATGAGCTTTTTTACAGGATCAATGAGAAATAATTAATATAAAAATATATCTGCCTTGTTACCACCTGTAAATGTAACTTTTAAGGGTTAAAAGACTTGGTTTCTCTGCACCGGCCTCTTCTGAGTGATAGTGAGAGTGTAGGATGTGGAGAAGTGTGAGAGGGCCAAGAGAACTGCAGTGAAAGAGGCTCATTTACCTCAGTGGAGGTGGAAAAAGAATGGCTTCCTAGGATGATGTCATTGCTGTGTGCTTGTATTGTGTTGCTGCAGTGGTTCCTGTTTTTGTGAAAAAGGGAAAGAGTGTGAGGAGGAAAGAGGGAGACGTTACATGGTCTGAGAGAAAGAGACAAAGAGAGAGAGGTGAAAGTTGTGTTAAAGCAATCAGCAGCATGACATGGATGAAGTCAAAGTGTCACAAACATCACCACACACTCTCACACAGATGCGTGGATCTGCTGGCCGGAAGCCGTGGCAGTAATTAAGGATTTTAGCTGGAAGAGGTGGGCTGATGAGAGGGCGTTCCAGCTTTCACACTAAAGATGTGATTTAATCAGCCAGCTGGACTGTGTGTGCAGTGCACAGGGACTGTTACATCAGCGTTTGCAAGGAAAAAGCAAAGAGGGTTCACTCTAAGAGGATGTTTATGTCAGCTATTCCGAAAATTATTTATGAACGTGTTTGTGACAACAGAATGTGGGCTGATATGGTCATGGAAATTTCGTTATTTGTTCTTGTGTCTGGGTGTATGTGTGGATTTGTAAAGGCAGTTTAGTTAGAATAACATGATGAGATTGTCAGCATTTTCTGAAAGTGGGCTTGTTTACTGGGCCTTTCAAACCTGAGACCAATTTCTGATACCAGTACCAATAACTAATCATTTTAAGTGTTAATCGTCAGCTGTAATTCCAATATCAGACTAATAATCCTAATTCAGTTTGCCTGATTATTTACAAATAATATGTTGGCTGCTTGTATGTTGGTTCTGTCAATGACTCACTTTTAGCATTTGCAGAAGTCTGTGTATAAATTAAAGGGCAACATTCTGCAAACTTTTTACTTCGCTATTTTAGAAACATTAGTGCCAGGATGTGACTTTGTCATTCTAAGCTCACTGGTGCAAGGAGGGAGGGCATGTGTCCCCACACGTCCCTCGCATGTTATAATTTCAGCTGGCTGTGGGAAGGTTGTCAACAACAACAAAAAGGTATAGCATAAGTTACTGATATCGAATATTAAAGAATGTGTATAAAATCTCCCATACCACTCTCCCATATCGTGCTATCATCACGAGCTAAAACAAACTGGCAGCTGAGGTGGATATGAGTTTTGGCAAAAATAAAGTCTCTGGCAGTGTAAATCAGCACTTAGCCAGGCAGCTAGTCTAACAGCTAACTTCATTACCTTTATTTCTATCAGTATTGCATGATTACCGTGTCTGTGTTTAACAGTGTACAAATATGGAGCATATGGAGTTCAGTCACCTCATATGAGAATGTCATAATACCAGTTCTGTCCCTGTCTCTCTCCCTCTGCAGTGTGTGGCTGTGACCTGGCACAGGGAGGGTTTTTCGTACGGCAGGGCGAGTATATTTGCACTCTGGATTATCAGCGTCTATATGGCACCCGCTGCTTCAGCTGTGAGCAGTTTATCGAAGGGGAGGTGGTGTCCGCTCTGGGCAAGACGTATCACCCACGCTGCTTTGTGTGTGCTATGTGCAAGTAAGAAGTACACACACATACACACTCAGTAATTCACTCGCTCACTCACTCACAAACACACAAAACCTATTGTGTAAACTTATTACACGTTATTTCCCCACATTATCACAGATAGCTCAGATTGAGAGGCCATAGCCCAGATGCCACAAGTGCCACACACAATAACCATAACAATAACACACTGCATAGTCATGGCTATTAGCAAGTTTTGTTAATTTGAACAGGTGGATTTGAAAAGGATTACTGTTACTGATGGAGCTCCAGGTTCAGCCAGTTACAGGTCATTCTGGAATAAATACTGTCAGACTGTAAAAACAACTGACATTGCAGATTCATACTGGATTAAAATCGTGAATCTTGTCAGGAGCTAAGTAAGGGGTGGATGTTTGATCCTGCTGGATCCTGGCCATTGGGGCATAATTAAACTAAATTCAATTCAAATTGAGATGTAAACATGTCATTCAGGGGGGTTTGATGCGAAATGGTCAATTAATGGCCTCGAGTGGTGGTAGTAGGAAACCGGGGGGGTCATGATGTCTTTAATGCAAATATAGCCATTTTCACTAAAATGACCAGTGAATCGATGCATTTCTTGAAAAATAAGTTTTTGTTGAGGACTATTATGTTTTACAACATCCTGCAGGTACCTTTCTGCCTGAATGGATTTTAAAAGTACATTTTAGGCCAAAACTTTATCTCAAACACATAAAACAGTGTCCCAGGCTTCAGAGATATTAAATTCTTCAGACGTCTGGTTCTCATCACCAGCACTGGAACAATTCTGACTCGGTAGAATTGAGCATTTCAATTCAACCCTGAATGACTTTGTGTTTCATCTTAACCATTTAATTATGCAGTATTCTTGAAAAAATGGCGGAATTCCCCTTAAGGGATCAAAGTACCTCCTGAGGTAAAACGAATCCAAGTTTTACTAATACAACTGAAAGTTAATTGAGCCTGTGATGTAAGAAATGATTTACATTTCCTTCTATAAAATCAGTGAATGTATAATTAATTAGCTCATAAAATGATCTCACTCCTTAATATGATTAGTAAAATCTTAATACAAAATCCCCTTAACATCTTTAATGTGTCCCTCTTTCCTTTGTGTGCAAAAGTTTGAGTGAGATGTTGGAAGGTAGTCTTGTTTACTGGTCGTGGTAGGGAAAGGAGACCCAGTAGCTTTTAGCAAGAATGTTAAGTGTATGCCCTGCTCCTAGGCCACTTATTTCCAGAGGGGTGTTAGGTGTCTCTTAATCGCTGAATGGATGTGTGTGTATGTGTGTGTGTGTGTGCACATGGTGTTACCAGGCTGCTCCCCTACATTGCCGTAGCGATGCCCATGTTTCCGTGGACACAGTGTACCCATTTAGATCTCTTGGGTGCAACTAGATCCTTAATCAGCTCACAACATGTTTGATTTGTATTTCCACGTTGTTGCTGACTTTCTCTCTCATTCTCTCTCTTTCTCTCTCTTTCTCTCCCTCTCTCCCTCTCTCCCTCTCTTTCTCTCTCTCTTCATGTCTCTCTCGCAGACTTTCTGTTTCACTGTCCGTGTTCTCTCTCTCTTTCTTTGCCTGGACCAGATGTCATCTCTGCAGAGTACATACTGTGCTAACCCTGTTACCATGTATTCAGTAGCCATAGTTTCTGTACAGAGAATGAGGGCATGAACTAGGTCCTATTATTAACCCTTGAACCGTGTTATTATTAATTAGTTATAATCTGAAGACTTATAGTATTGTGCAAAAGTCAGAGATTACTCTTCTTTTATTTAATTACCAGTCAAAACTGCCTCAAAGTACAAGTTACAGATTTTTCAATGTCAGGAAAAAACAAAAAACATGTATTTAACAGAAAATTACACAGAAGCCCCAGTAACTAAGTATAATATTTTTGTTTAGTATTTAGTGTGTCCACAGCTTCCATTCTTTCTGGGTGACTTGCTTTCAGTTTTAAAGAAATCTGCAGGTGTTTTTTCCACACCTCCAAAGTTCAGTTTAGAAGTTGGTTGCATTTTCTGCATCTAATGATGCACATAATCCCAAAGACATCCAATGATTTTGAGGTCTGAACTCCGGATTGGTCAGTCCATTCTTCAGAGAAGAGTAAAGAAGAGTTTCCTTTTCTCAGTAATGGTTTCTTGACAGCTACACATCCTTTCAGACCCATAGTGTTGAGTTATCTTCTTACAGGGAAAGGAGAGACAAAAACAGCTGTGGATATTTTCTAACCTGAAAAAAATGAAGAGTTACTGTAGATTTTCTCTGAAAGTACTGTTTATATGGTGGTGACAGATTTGGTGGTGTACCAGGTCTTGCACAGTTGTTAAGAGTCCCGTTTTCTGTATATCCTTTAACAGTTTTTGAGCTCCAGTTTGGGGTACTCCTTTTTTTCACTTTTTTTACTTTGAATCTCTCTTCTCTTATGCAAGTGGATTATCTCATATCTAGTCAATAATTTGTACTTTAATGACCATTTTGGATGGAAAATAAATACATGACTTTTGCACAGTACTGTATGTTTTAGTGACTACTATAAATGATCTGGTAACTTCTATGAAACTAATATGTAATTGTGTAGATATGAGTGAGGGAATAGAAGTGTGACTCAACAAACAGGCCCTTATTGTTTTAGGGTTTAATTGACCTCTCCACTCCCATGGTGTAATAGTGTCCGTCATTACTTGGCTGCTTCACACACAGAAATTTGGACTAACAGCTAAATGAGTCTGACGCTAAATTAACCAGGTGCTAAATTGTATCACCTATCTGCTAGAAAGCCTAGTCTCTCTGACGCCACGGCTGTATCCACACCTTAGAGACAGAGTGACCATTCACTGCAGCGCTGGCTGACATTTCCACTAGCTAAATCAGTCCAACAAGTGCTACAGCAGGTGCCAACATTTATTGTTATACCATGAGCTAACTGGGACTTAGGTAACGGTGAGAGTTAGTCATACTCAGCACCTCACAACTACAATGCCACTACCGTCTTAGTGTCACTGCTGAGCTGAGGGTAGTCTACAACCTAAATATTATCTGGCTAGTGGTGGTCCTATGGTAGTCCTTTTCCAGTGATGGATAGGGTAGAGGGAGAGCTGATCAGTAACTGTAAACCTACCTATGTGATAGGTGTTTCTGATAAAATGGCCAATGATTGCATGTAGTACATCATCTTTATTTCTGCATACTGGCTAAAAGATGACACCAAGGTTGTTACCTGCTGTCCTCATGTACCCACTAGGTGCTAAAAATGCTGTGACATCCTCAGCTCTCGCGTTATCAGCCAAAGTCAAATTCCTCCTGTCCTCCAAGTCTAGTGGTCAGCCAGCACGGAGACACAGAGGGTCAAGTGTGAGTGGCACGTCCGCTCCAGCTTCACCAGTCACCTAGAATAGCTAACAGTTTCAGCTTCTAATACTGGTGCCATTCCTCAGGCTTTAGCGGCATGCAAAACAGGAGTCACATGACTTTTGTTTGCTATTAGGATCACATAATATATCATTTGTAAATTGATATTGCAGCATTGCTCTTCACATATTGCAAAAGCCTGCAATTTGCAAATGAGCCGTGTAACCAACCACAATGCTGTGGACCAGTTTTATTTTGCGATTTTTTGTGGTACCAAATGTTTCTTCTGAAACTTTCTAGTCGCAAGTGCTAGCCAGGGACGCATTAGCCACTGATGTGTAATTTGCAGCTTTTAGTAATTAGTAATTGTTAGCAACAAATTAGAAATTGTATAATTCAGTATTTCCCATAACTACTATGAGATTTATGCATTATAAACTACAGTGTGACCTACATATCTCAATGACTAAAATGTCTCTTTTGTCCTCATAGTTATTTGTTTTTGTTGTTTATCTCTTGGGTGGTGAGGTGACCGCTCTCTTTTTCCCTCTCTCTGTCTCTGTTTTTGGCAGACAGCCGTTTCCTGCAGGCGACCGTGTGACGTTTAATGGGAAAGAGTGCATCTGTCAGAAATGCACTCAGCCTCTCCCTGCCAACAGCCCAGCACCCGTTCAGGCTGTTCATAGTGAGAGCCCTATTCATCCTCCTCACCTTATTCTCTCTCTGTCTCTCTCTCTCTCTGCCCCTACTTTGTCTCTTTTCTTTCTTATGTCTTTCTGTCCTGTTTTTTTCTGTCCTTCTCTGCACCTGCTGCACACCCCCAAACATGATCTAGCCATAAAAAGTTGTCTTTTTGTCCATAATTGTAACCTCTCTCTCTCTCTCTCTCTCTCTCTCTCTCTCTCTCTCTCTGTGTGTACAGATTGCTGTGGCTGTGGTAAGGAGTTTAAGAATGAGCAGTCTTTGGTGGCACTGGATAAGCACTGGCATCTTGGCTGCTTCAAGTGCAAAGTCTGCAATAAAGTACTCAATGCAGAGTACATCAGCAAGTCAGTACTCTACACACTGTGTGTGTGTGTGTGTGTGTGTGTGTGTGTGTGTGTGTTTGTGTGTTGACAGTAATGTAATATATCATTGAGCTGACCCATCTAAATGTTATAATGACTCAACAGGAACATTCTGGACATGCTGTCCTGAGCTACAGAGCAGTGATGAGCTCAGTAGTCCACTTAGGGCCTCCTATAACGCCTCTTTGTTGAGACAGTTTTGAAGGGGTCATATCACTGAAAATTAAAAATATAATAATTTATAAGAGTGCTATGTAAACACTGTGAAAATATCTAAATGTTCCATTAACTCCTCAGTCAATACAGTTCATATAGGAGACTAAACTGCAAAAACAGTCATCGTGGTTGTGATGCCATTGACATAAACACATGTACATGTGACCACACGATTAGAGGTTGTACTGTTTCAGACTGTGAGAAAGCAGCGCTATAGTCGTAGAGGAGGTGGAACCATTGACATGATTTTCATCATGTGATTTCTAGCGTGAAAGTTTTATGTTTAAAATCCTATGAGAAATATTGTGGCTGAAACCTATAATATTTTTAATATATTTGTGCAAGGAAACAACATTTAAAATGTGCCATAAACATAGTAGAATTTTCAGCAAATAAAAATACAGAACAGAAATATATTTTTAGTTATAAAAAAATCTCTTCACTAAAGAGCTGATAATCAAGTAGTGCATGAATTAGCTTTGCACAAATCTTTCTATAATACCTGGGCCTCTAACATTTCCACTTGTGAATGTGTGTGTTTTGTGCAGGGATGGAATTCCATACTGTGAGATGGACTACCACGCGATGTACGGCATCCAGTGTGAGAACTGCAAGAAGTACATCACAGGGAAAGTCCTGGAGGTACTGGGCTGCCTGTCATGGTCCACATAGCTGCAGCTGGTGAATGGAAGAATAGACATATTAATGAGTGAATGGTCAGATGCACGGTTTTGTGGCTGGGTCATGGCAAGGGCAAATCCTGTGTGTCAGTATGTGCTAGAATATGAGAGTGTTTCACAGACAGGCTGTGATTCAGTCTGGTTCAGACTGGTACACTATATTCCCACTGGGGTTGAGGCTGAGAGGGGCTAACAAAGAAACTCTCAGTCGGCCAATTCAGAATCTCTCTGAATACAGCACTATTATGACAATGCATTTCTCTCTGTGTCTGTTTCTTTTCCTCTGTCTCTCTTTCTGTCTTTTTCTCTGTCTCTCACGCACATTTTCTCTTTTCATAAATAGCTATTTGGTTACCTCATGCTGTAAATAAGACCTTTAGTTACTCAGTAGTCTTTGTTGTTGTACCTGAAGGCCACTCTCACTTACACTATGAAATCATAGAGAAATGTGTCTTATATGACACTATTCACTGTATGGGTTTCTGATCCGGAGGAGCCAGAGCCATGGATTCAATAAATGATAAATGTTGTGGCTGACACTTCTATTTTAATATATTTTAATATATTAATATATTTTAATATATTATGAAATAATGTAACAAAAACTTTAAACCTATACATATATTAAACCTAAAATATTAATTAAAAAACCTATAAAATCAATCAATCAATAGCCAATCGTTTAATACTTTTGGCATTTTAAAACAAGTTTGCACTATAATCCATAGATGAATAGCAGAGAGACAGATTTAAAACAGATTTAAGACAGGTTGAAAATCAGAAAAGCTAAAATTTAACTAAAAATTTTACATAGCCACGGCATAGAAAAATCAGACATGGAAGTATTTTGTAAGCTTTTATATCATTTTATGTAGATATTCAACATTATTTGCTAGACACTCTCAATAGAGGCACCAGGACTGCCATTTTGAACGTGAACCACGGAATTGAGGGTAGGCTGAATCTCACTACTGTGGGCAGTGCGATATGAGTTAGTCTACAAAAAATGTAATATAAATCATAACATTGCATTTGCTAAGCACCATTCATCTGTAGTTGGAATCAGATTGCAGTAGAATGACTGGCTAGTCGACCAGAACACATAAAAAGAAGTCATAATGGAAAAAAGCTAATCTCATGTCTATAGCTTTGCACATAGGAGAAATACTGCCCAGCATACCTTTAATAAGCTGCTAATTTCTTACATTTATGCCTTTAGTGTTAATAAACTGGTTGATAATTGTGCCAATTATATGCTTCCAATCTATAAATCCACATAACAGTCCTCCACATGTTTATTGCCAAAATGCCTTGGCAGTATCACTGCTAATGCAGTTTCTGATTGGTTGATGACAAAAATCTTGAGTATGTCATGTATTTTGGAAGAGCATTTTCTTTTTTTTCCATTTTTGTTATTTATAATTTTTGTTTATTTATAAGGCTTTAATATTGAAAGTAAGTCTGAGCAGCCATGTTGCGTGGGCCATAAAGATGGGTGGGCACAATCAAATCACCCCCATGGGACAGTCTTATCTAGAGCGATTCACAACAGAAGGTGAATGTGGCATTGGGAGTTTTGCCGAAGAGCTCCTGCATCCTGTGTTGAGAATCAAACATCCTATGTAAGGAGCAGTGGTGTTAGCTACTATGCTATCCATTTTAGTGAGTTGAGAAGAATTGAAAAAAGGCCCCCTACACTAGTGACCACATGTGTGTCAATTTAAGCATGAGCTAAAAATAGGGAGCTAAGTCATCAGTTGGTCTCCAATGTCAATATCAGACAGATAATATTTATTACATTTACTAATTTATTTGCTAATATATCAGCTGCTGATATATTGTGCATCCCTAATTTGTTTGGTTGTGTCTGTTTTTTAATCAACTTGAAAGTGTGTGTGTGCATGTATAGCTGTGTGTGTGGGCGTGTTTGTGTTTCTCAGGCAGTCAGTCACAATAAATGAATCTGACACACATATCAACAGTGGCACACTGTTGCTATGGAGACGCACTCCCTCAGCTGCTGGCATTTAAGGAAGCCACATTTGGATCAGACCACCTGACCCCGTGTGACATCACAGTTCAGGACGTTTCCCACTAATTGTCTCAGACAGTTTCTCAGGTTCTCTCTTTTGCACTGAGGAGTCAGATGGCTGGTACTTCATCATCTTAGTGCTTATTATAAACACAGTTTGCCTTAAGCACTTACAAAAAATGTGTAATATGTAGGTTTTGTGAATGTGAAAAGCTACATTAGATGCATAAAGTGTAACATTAAGGTTACACAAAAGTAGAGGGGGGTATACTGACTATTATATTTTAGGCCTGTATTACGTTGAATTATACAATACCACAAGCCAGAGTGGCCTTGTGCTTTTGTGTAATTCACTGTGGAATTGATCATTCAAGTTAACACTCATTGTAACTACCACCACTTAATGGTTCTGACAGTGGCAGGTTGAGAGGAAGAAAGTAATGAGGAACAGAGTGAAATCCCTGGAATATCTATTGATCTAGACTTTGTTTGTGTAGCTCTTGTTTATTCTTTTTCATGAAGACTACATTGTGAAGGACCGGCTGGGAATTGTATCTGTGCCTGAAATGTCATGACATTTAGCCTGGAGAAACATTATCTGTTTTCAAAGGAGGGCATGATTGGGATCCGTGATAACATTTATAATTACATCAGATTACCATACAGTCAAAATGAATATGGCTAGTGAGAGATGCTTCACATATACATTTGTAGAACATTGGCATGTTGAGGAAAAGCTGAGTTCAGTGTGGCTATAAGCAGTGTCCCGTGAACCAGAGTCTTCTGATATGGAGTTTTCTCTGTCTGACACTAGGGGCTTTCCGAAAGGACACTAGTCCTAATGTGTTGTTGTATCTCAAATATCTATTGTGTTGCAGTATGAGAGTAGGATCATATGATTCATGGAATGTAATAAGAGAAGGCATGCGACGGAATATCACCTGCTCAGATTGACGCTATTTAAATACATCATTGCTGTCAAAGTAAAATATTGGGTCTTCGAAATGGTGACTTCATAGAAGAAGCAAAAAAAAACATTCATTACTTTAATATATGTTAATATAATATGATTATATTCTAAGTAATTTTATGCAATTTCTCTTGCACCATTTGTCATGAATTGTTCACACAATGTAATAGGAAAATAGTATAAAAAATAAAAAAGCAAAAATATGAAACCAAGATAAAATTATGGCTTCCAAAAGACTCTCAAATCTTATGCCATACTGAAGGCTGGCAGTAATTTATATTGGAATTGGGGTTAAATTAACTGGGATTGCGCTCTGAACCAAACAGTGGAGTCATTTCTTTACTTATTATCACATTTATGCCATATTTGGGATCAAACATCAGTATGAACCTTCACAGGTTCAGTGTCTAACACTAGGCTTGGTTATAGCACTGTCATATCTGCGGAGAGAGTGTGATGGAATTTGTTAGAAAGCATTTGCATTTAATCCACCACCGAGGACATATAGTGCCAGATCCTCTTTTAGTGCCCCCCCTACTGTTTATAATTCACTGCTGCAGGTTCTTGTGCTAGTCCTCCATTTCAGCATAACAATGTCTTTTTTGGATCCCTCCACAAACTCATTTTTAAAGTTTTATGCCAAACATGGAACGTGCCACAGCACATTTGCTGTCCATCCAGTTGCTATAAAGGTCATTCAGAAAATTGCAAGTTCTTGTATATTACAATAAACATCAGTTCATTTACATTTGACGTTTCAATGGTGAATCTTATGTACTATTGTTGTTTTGTAGTGTCATTTTCCTGTTCCATTAGCTTACTTTGATCTTCTGTTTCATAGGCTGGAGATAAACACTACCATCCCACATGTGCCAGATGTGTGCGCTGTGAGCAGATGTTTGGAGAGGGGGAGGAGATGTACCTGCAAGGTAACATACATCAGTCTCTAGACTAGATCATTCATATTAAAGTCTTGATGAGATTATGTGTAGACAATAATTACGTTTACATGCACACCAGTAGTTCAGTATTAGTCTGATTAAGACTACAAGACTTACTAAGAAATTATCATACGCTTGGTTCGGTTGTCATGGTCCCACTAATGTCTTAGTTGACCTAAGCTTACTGCAATTAAAATGTGGTAGAGGATAGATTTAGACATTTAAACATTTACATATCTCCGCTGACTCACACGGCTTTTGTAACATTTTACGGCTTTTTCTGTGATGACAGCTTTTTGACACCAAAACAAAAACTTGCGAAATGGACAGAAATAAACATAGTTAGATATTTAGATTGCGACAGGTATTAATAAACAGTGAGAAACTCATACATTGATAAACTTAGCTGCGTTATAAAGCGGGTGTTTACTGTTATAGAGTCAGAATGTGCTGATGTGCATGTCAATAGGACTGTAAATGGACTAGTCTTTTATACAGCTCTTATAAACGTGTTGGTTCGGTCCAGTTCCTTAGATTAACTGAGTCAGGCTATTATAAACACATATAAATGTTATTAATGTTAAAAATGTTGGAGAACAAAGTGACCTGTTAAGACTTTTCAAGCCAGGAAAGCTGCATTGTCTGTCTTTTACTCTTCTCCTTTAATTATATGATTCTCATTCTGAAACCATATTTATTGTATGTGTAAAGAATATAATTTAACAGATCAAAAAAAATTGTAGAAAGCTACCATTTTGATTAAGCAGGCACAATATTAGGGATATACTTCACACTTCTGTCAACTTTTATTGTTAAGCTGATGAAAGTCAATTATCAATAACAAATCAATAATAAGCCCTTATTGATCTGAATTCAGTTCCGAAATTATGAATGCTTGCTCAGAAACTGTTGCGCTGCATCCAACAATAAGGACAGCATGGCACTTCTTTTAAACAGTGGTAGAAACATGATTGCACACAGAAAGCTCTACATGCTGATGCATTGTACTGCCCAACATCAATATTCCCAACCAAGGCAGATATTAGAGATTTCACAGGGACATTGTCAACTGTGCTTGAATGTGTCACCACCAAGAGGTTTATTTCTTAACTTATCACTGTTTATTAATTTTAAACACAATAGTAACATGTGATATTACAGTGTCTTAGATCATATATGGAAGTGTTTGCTTTCCTTCATTTTACCCAGCAAATGGTCTCTCATGAATAGCAGTGGTCAGTTTGTTAGATTCTTCTCAGCTTTTGCTTTCGATTAAGACTTTTTATCTCTGTTCCAGTCAGATAGGCCTACATGTGTTCTTTTGATTGATTATTTATTGTAATATGAATCTTTCAGAAGATCCTTGATAAGTCCGAAATAGGCTATGCATCTACAGTCTATTCAGTGACCTGTCATCATTATTAATATACTAACAGAAAATATTATTCTGTGTCATAGCAGTAATTGGCCTTTTATTTATGACTTTATCTCTACACTGTTCTAGTCTGCTGTTAATAATCCTGTGAGAAATTGAGTAAAGAAAATCTATGACAGCCATAAAGAGCCGTGTCAACTGTTATTACTGTTTGATTACTGCGGAGAGCCGTTTTATCTAGTGCAGTGATTAGTGTTGTGCTGAGAGCCCAGAGAAAATAAAGCACCTCTCTGACATCAGACCATCAGTAAACAGGGCAGAGCAAGAGTCAGGTCTGCATTCAGCCTCCAGATACTTCAGTGGAATTACCCTTATAGGTGCCCAAGGCATATACACCATTAAATGGCTTGTCTTAATTAATCATTTCTCACCACATTGAAACAAATGGAAAAGTTCTTTTGGAGGCATCATTCAATTCCACACTTTGGTTATAAGAAGAAGAGAGGAAGCATCCTTTAAGATTGAAAGGCCAGACTTGGACGTGTCAATACAGAATGCAATTCAAATGTAAATGTAATTCATTGTGTAACTGTATAATTAATATGTAACTGCATATTAATAATGATTATAAAATTAAAAACAAATGATGTTATTAGAAGTATGTAACTGAATGCATAGAAAAGCACAGCTTCTACAGAATTACACAATCTTTACTTTGTTATTGCTGTTTATAAGAGCTTTGTGATTAGATCTCACAGCTTTTTTTTCATTTCTACTGTTTGCCTTAGTAATAAATTTATACCAGGAGCAGCAAGGCTGGAACTGCTCTGTTTGATTGCACTCAGAGATTTATATTCCAGACAGAGTGCACTGCAGTCTATTTCAGACTACATTTATCCTCTGCTTTGGACTGTTGACAGGTCCTGGGTTAGTTATTGGTCATTTTCATTCTGACTGGATGAAATGAAAAGGAAAGTGATTTGCTGAGTCATTTAAGGCCCTCAGAACTCTGTGCATTTAGTCCATGAATGAGGAACGGACAGCTAATGTGGGACTTCTAGCAGTAATAATAGTAGTAATAGGATTGATTGCATAAGCACATTTTAGCATACCTAAGGCAATAGCACAAAAGAAAAAACATGGCTGTATGTATGTACATATATATATATATATATATATATATATATATATATATATATATAGGAAAACATGTTGCATGCTGTTCTTTTCTCTCTTTCTCAGGTTCTTCCATCTGGCACCCTCCTTGCAGACAGGCAGCACGTATGGAGGAGAAGAGTAAGGTAGGGTGCTCAGAACAGAGCAAAACAGTGTAAAAGCTATTGACTGAGCAGGTGCAGGGGCACAGCTTTCCCACAGCATTACTGATAGCCTAAAGTGCTAGAAGAGCCATTAGCCAAGCCCCTTATATGATCCCCTTGTATTGTAATGCCCCTCTTCCTGCAGAAACAGGTGCGGATACAGCTCAATGACCTGCGTCTCAATGTACCTGAGCAGGTTTGTGAAGTGCACCCCCAACCCTCTTTCCCTGCATGGGTTTATCTCCTCTCCCAACCTGCTTTCAGCTTCAATAGAAACTCACAGAGGTCTGAACAGGACCTGCAGGACCACCGTACGCTTTTGCCTCCTACCCACCTGATCTTGTGATCAGGACCCAAAGTCGAGGCTCTCACTGCACTGATGCTGCTGTGTATTTATAATGGAGTGGTGCATAGTTTTGTAGACATAATAAACAAGATCACTGTTAGCCATTAATGCCCTACTAATGTACTACTATATAATATGGAGGAAACTGAACTGAGATTTTGACCTCACCGTCTGAGGCATGTGTTAAATACAGATTTTCATTACAAATCCTCTTTTACTTGGTGGTAAATTCACACCTTAACAATGCAGGTTTATTTCATACAAAGGCTTATTATTCAGTAACTACAGGAACTTCAGTGCAAACTAATGAAGCTATTCTTAGGTTATAGAAGTGTGTAATAAACCTCTGGGCCTGTTAAGGGGTTAATAATAGATGAAGTAATAATGCATTTTATCTTAAGTGTTCATACATCTAAAATTATATTTAGTACAGCCGCATGCAAAAGTTTGGACACCCCTGGTTGCATTACATGTTTCATGATTTTCTAAGTGAAAATAAGTACACTAAAATGCCATATTTAAGTTTGTTACAAGAGAATTTTCACTTAGACAATAAACCACACATGTCTTTTGACCGGGGGTTCAAACTTTTGCATATGACTGTAGACAATATATATCGCTAATGGTGCTTTTTTAGTTATTTTGTTGTAGCTAAATGCCCCCCACATTTGTATTAAAACCTATTATATATTGTTGCTGTCAGAACAAAACTGTATCTCTGAAACTGTACATTTATAGGAGAAGTTGGTTGACATTTTCAACTTTCATGTAAAGACTATTTCTATTGGTCCATTTGTCATGAAGTTTTCACACAATGTAAAGAGCAGCTGGTGTTTTCAAATAGTGTTCTCAGGTTTTGATATGACAGCGACAGTATGTTCTATTCTTTAGTAAAAAGTTGTTTGTATTTACCTGATTATTAGTGTTTATCGGTATTTATGTGTAATGCAGGCTTTTGATACAATATGGCATGAAAGAGAACGAAGTAATATACGTTCAGTATTAAATATATTATGTAAAAATGTTAAGCTCTCTTGTAGTAAATGCTTGTAAAAAATATATATATATAGAAAATACTTTTATTAACCCACTGTTTGGCTTTCTCTCTCCAGGTGACCAGGACCTCCTCTGAGAGCATCACCTCCGCTCCTGCCTCCAGTGCATCTGGATCTCCTAGCAGAGTTATCTATGTACGCAGCCCTTTTATTTGCACTAACATGAAACTCTTATTTAGTGCCCCATTGTGAGGGGCGGTTTCTTCAGATGTCAGTTATTCTAGTGCATGTACATTTACTAGCCACCAGGTGGCAGCAAAAGGACAGAGTATTAAAGTTTTGTTCAGGGACTGGAGTTGTTTGTTTATTTTTATATTGGTATTTCATTCTTTCTGCCACAGGCAAAGCTGGGTGATGAATTCCTGGACTATAAGGACCTTGCGGCTCTTCCTAAAATAAAGGCAATCTATAACATCGACAGACCTGACATGCTCTCCTACTCTCCTTATGTCAGCTACCCTGCAGAGGAGAGGACTTATGGAGAGGTACTTACACATGAAGACACACTTCAGACAGGTTCATTTTCTGCAGGAGACTGCTGTTACATTACTCTTATCTCCCCACAGTGTTCACACTATAATTCAGTAAGATGTCTTATTTCTACAAAATAGGAATTTAAAAATGTATATTTTACTGGCCTGCAGGCACAATATAAAATGAGTCATGTTTTTAGTAGTGTTTGAGAAGTCGCCAAAGGAATATAATAAACACGTACTACTATTTTAGTAGAATTTCACTTTACACTAGCATTTTAAATCACATTATCAGAAATGTTGGCTAGTATATAGAGCATGCTTAGAGTCACTGGTGGAGGACTGTCCATTCCAAGCCTTTAAAAGTAAACAGAACTTTGACAAGGACATTGTATTTGTCATCCATGCTCCATGCATGTTTCAGACAAACTAAACAGAACATAAATGTATGTATCTAAATTTAGAATTACACCTTAAAAATGTAAAATATAGGCCAAACGAAGAAAGAAAGATTTATTTTTTTATTTACTTATTTGTTCATTCCTTCCTTCCCTACATCAAACATTGCATTCACTAAGAAATTGTTTTCAGGATGTTGGTTTAAAGTTGGGAAACCAACACATGGAGTACGTTTGTGAAATGAATATGGCAAAACAATAAAAATGCTCCCCCTGACTGCAAGATCTGATGCTTTTTATGTAACCCATGCTTACACCTCCTAAAGGCTGTGTTATACTTTTATTTTTGTATGTAACTTTTATTTAACTATACATATGTGTGCGCACAGATGTCCTTTGTATTTTGCCATTGTTTGGTTGTGCACATCCTCAGAAATGAATTCTGTGTACCAGCATAAACTTTTAGAGCAGTGGTCAAAAAATGTGGTGTCTGTTGTTAGGTTCATTGTTGACCTTGATGTGCAAAATCAGAAGAAGCGAAGGAAGGTTTTCATCTGCCAACCAGGAATGTTTTAGCCCTAACCTGCCCCCTAGTGGACATAGCTGTTAATTCTCCAGATACACAAAAAAATATGCAGACAAGTAGCAGCCGTGTGCGCACACATATACATAGTTAAAAATAAAGTATACCTGTGCTTTTATTTTATTTTTTTTTATGTCTATAACGTCATTAGGCCTACTGCATCTAACTTCATCTCACTCGCTTGCTTTCTTCATTTGCAGTCACCCCAGTTGCTCACCCCTACTCCAACAGAGGTACAGTAAAGGAGACCTGATGGGGAACACATCTCTCAGGCCCCTTTAAGTGTTGTATCAGTGTGAGGACATCAATACAGTTGTGCTAATTTTGGGAAATTTGTCTTGTGCTTACATGTTGTGTGTGCAGTGCAGTTGTATCATTTGTTCTTGATTGTGTTAAAATTGACAACTGATCAGTTTTTGTCCCATGATCAGTTATTGTGTCATATGATATGAGATTGACAGAATGTTATGGATATTTAATTTCAGTTCATCTGGTTCTCTCCTAGGTTCAGAACCTATTATGTATCTCCAGATCACATGTAGACCTGTTCATTTATGTTTTTAAATTAGTGTCATTGTGTCAATTTTAGATTTCATCACAGTATATTCTTGTCTATTTTTTGTTTGTTTGTCTTTTCCAGGGAGATGGGGAAAAATCACCCCGTCAGAGGAGACCCTCAAGCCCCAGCTCCAATAGCTCTTTGGGTGGCTATGGCCGCTACACCCCCTCTCGCTCACCCCAAACATACAGCAGACCAGGTACCCACACTTACTCACACAGAGACAAACAAAGTCTTAGATGCTCTTTTTTCTGTTTTACATGAAGAGCATTGCACATTTTTATTAACACATTGCTTTTAACTGTGTTCATGAAAACATTTTTAGATGTTTTCAGAAGTTTCTTACTTCCTCATATTATTTCTCTAGTTCTTTGGTTTCATGTCCCTTCTGAAAGTATGTGGTGTGTATTTCAGGCAGTATTGATGATCATTAGATGCAATAAAATGCAACATATAATGAGTCATAATAATGTACCTATGCACTGAGAAAGTCTTGTTTAGGGAAAATGTGGAATTGAGAGACATTTCCCATATATAAATATTTATAATATAGTCACTGACTTCATATTACTCCCCTTCTCCCCTTTGGTTGGTTGGTCCCCTTGCACAGAACAATATCTGAGCAGTAGATACACCCCACAACCCGGAAGTTCCAACTCGCTGCCCGTGTACACTGCGGGTAGGTATGGTGGCCACTGTAGTCCCAGGGACTCCTCTTCACTGCCCAGTGGTGGTAGAAATACTCCACAGGCAGGGAGTGGGGGTGTGGCTCTCCCCTTAAACCCCACCACCCTGGCCATGCTCCAACAGCACAACTACATCCCCTACTTCAGAGGTACCACAACTCAGCCTGCAGGCCTTGTGTGTTAGCTAAAACCAACTAATGCCACAACATGCATGGAACTGTTGCTGTCACAGCTGAACTGCAACACTAATGAGTTGCTATAAATGTGAAATATCAGAAGTGGAGATCTAGAATTACGTAAAGTTTCATGTATTCTCATTATTTAAGGATAAATAATAAGGAAAAAAGAATCAATCAATTATGAAACTACTACCTTGTCCTTCGCCCGCCTTCCCTAAACAGGAATTGAGACAGAATTCAAACAGGAACCAGTCTCTGAAAGTAAACCTAGGACAGGCCTGCACCTCAATTTGCCTCCCTACGGTAAACCTCTGGACCCACTGGTCCCACTCTTTTACCATCTCTATCAGTGTGATCCGGTTCTGTGAGATTGTAGGTGTACCCCAAGGTTCATCCTTTGGACCATTCAGTTTGTTTTTGCTTGCCATTATTGTGTCTGTAGAGTTCATGTTTTAACATCATGCTCAGTGATGTTGCATGGAAATCCTGTGTATATTATGTATATATTTATATTTTAACAGTGATTTTAATTGCACACTCAAACACTTGGGAACGTTGAAGATGGACATATGTATTGATGTACAATTGTGATATTTGTGCTTATCAATGTTGTGCTTTGTTACGGTGATAAATATGTTGGATTGCCCCACTGTGGAAAAAACTGCCTGTTTGGACATTTATGTTATTTATTGTTTTTCCTCCTTGTTGTTTGTTGTTGACTGATCTGTCTCATTTATTCACTGTTGTTTTGATATTCTGCCAGCTGATGTTTCCGATTACAGTTAATACCAGCTCAGGCCTATGAGTCTTTGCCTATGGGGGAGTGTGGATTACCTCATCTAAAGCATGCTTGAGTGTGGTCAGAGAGGGACTGTGTAATCAGTTGAGGAGGTCTGGGAAAGGGATCACTCAGTAAGCTCCACCAACACTTTAACACCAAGAATGCAAGTTAAGCCGCAAATGTAAACTTTGATACGTGCAGGCTCGCCTTTCCAGATGCACATAAAGTGTATAAAGCGTATGTCTGAATTTTTTGGGCAAGTTGATACTTATAAGGTTGTGAGTAACCTTGCTAGTCATGGGTCACTCCTTCTCTTGAATGTGAAGGGAGGGAGACCTAAAAAAGCTACTTATGATCTTGTCTCTGCGGTTTCTCCAGGAGAAAAAGAAAGAGAGGGAAAGAGAACTTCTCAGTAGTAGATTAAAGGGAACAGTGGAGGAACTGTAATTTGGGGTCTGGGTGCCAGTTGCAGTGGCACACACTTTGGCCTCGCTTGATTCTGGGCCTAACCACCTTTTAACACAGCGTGAAAGTGAGTTGTGCATGTTTGGTATGTTCTGTTTTTGTTACAGTTGACCCTTTATTGGGTGAGGAGCCACATACAGTAACTGGATTATCGGTTTTCGCTCAAAGTTTCTGAGCTAACTAGGCTTGCTCCCTTATTATAAAATAAATTGTTCCAGTTGTATATTCGAATTAGCTGAGCTAGGCTCAAAGCTGTTGTAAAAATTTATGATATATAAAACCCACACGTCAATTGAATTATTAATGTGGCAAGTTATTAAAAAGACATTGGCTGTGACTGATATGAATCCCTGTCTGCATTTTAGCGCGATGTTATGTATGTTGGCCATATTTCTCTTTGTGTGCGAAACGTAAAACAGAATTCTAGTGTGATTTTCACAGAACTACAATATCCTGCAATGCATTCATAACTTGTACTGAATATCATAGATCACTACATTAGCTGAATGTATACCAAAGTGCCTTGCGAGTCGCTTGTTACTAACAAGAGGAATATTAGCGGTGGACATTGAGCCATTGGAAACAAAACTTACCCTGGCAAAATACTATAAAAACAGCAGCACTGTACAGTTAAAAACAAAGATTCTAATGCATTTACTACCTGCTGCTCATCATATAGCAAAAACACTGACTGGTACCTGTAAGTAACTGCACTCACTGACCAAGAATTAAATGTGTATCTGTATATTCTGCAGGATAATTGCTAAGTCACTTGCCAAATGGTAAACTTTCTGCTTCACTATATGTCCACTTAGCGTAGCTCCACTCAGTTTTGACTGTTCAGGAAATGCATGCATGCCCAGCGAATGCGTTTACTATCTCCGATATCGTACAATGCTAATGAGGAAGCAGGGCTTCATTTCACTCACAGCCATTGTGTTGTTCATAGAATGATAGTATAATTTGTTTGGTTGTTATCTCTTTCTGCACCTACGGTCTACTGCCTAATAACACCTTAACTGTGATGAAATCACTGTAACTCACAGCCTCCCATGGTTTGTTGCATTAGTTTATGAAATGCGTTGTAAGTCAAGAGATCACAGACTTCCAGTAAAGTATCAAGACCACAGAGAGGAAATATGCTGGACTGGTTTCAAGGCTGTGCAGAGAGAATTACAGAGTACAGAGTGAAAAAGACACGAAGAGTACTGTGTCTCAGCGCTCAGCACTCACAATGACTATGAAGAATGAATTTTAAATTCTCTTAAGGATCCTTTCCCAGCAAGTTTATGACTAATGCAGCCTGGAGCTCGAGCAGTAAACCTTCATTCTCCACACAGAGCTCAGAGCTTGCCTTCAGTTGCCATTTGTGATTTGTATGCGGTTGCTGTACCAGGGACTAGCTGACCTCCTCCAGATGTGCGGAGGAGTTTCTTCCTCAGATTGAGTGGCCATTTACTAACTGCATTTTCTATTTTGTGTGTGCATGTGTGTGTGAAGTGCAAAAGTATACAGCACACAGTGTGTCTGTGAGTGAGCTAATTCTTCATGCTCATGCAACTGCAAATTTCACATATTTTCAAGCCTCTCTCTCTCTCTCTCTCTCTCTCTCTCTCTCTCTGTCTTTTCGACTCTCCTTGTAACTTGTTCTAAAATATTTATAAAATAAAAATCTATTTGTGTAGATGACTCCTTTTGGCTTAGAAGGTGCTAGTTACTTCATGATCCTGCCTGCTAATGTCACACTGCATTCTTCTAGTCTATGGTCACTGTGACCATATAACTGAATGATCTAATCTGTGCTGATCCAACAGAAACAGAGAAAAGCTTCTAAAGCCAGTTGAGAAATAGTCGGAGGATGAACGTAGCACACAGGCCACAGGTGTTTCTGTGGTTCTTTCATTACTTTTAGCTCGTTGGGTCATGAAGTGTGGCTTTATTAAAGCTTTGAAAACAAATGCAGCATAACTCTGCTCTCTCACCCCCCCCCACCCCCTGTCCGTTTATCTGCTCTTGCCTTCGCCCCTGGAGGTAGTGAAAGTGGCCGCAGTACCCCCAGCCTCTCCACCTACTCCGATGGCAAATCCCCCTCTTCTACATACGTGGCTGCACCTAAGCATTTCCACATACCAGGTAGGCCTGCCTTGCTTTTGCACTCAAGCTACTCCTAAGGGTGGGTGATCTGGCAGAAATTTAACATCACAATACTTGTTATGTATCCTGATTAGGGCTGTCAAAGTTAACGAATTAACGTGATGAATTATTAACGCTACTAATTCTTTTAACCTTTTAACACATTTCATAATTTGACCCTTCAGACCATCTGTAGTAGTGCAGGAGGAAGCTCAGCTGCTCACGCATTGTATATTGCTATGATAGATTCCACGATTGTCAACCTCTCGTTCAAATACAGCTTTCAAATGGCTTTTAAAGCAATATCTATGTTGCAGACTATGCTAGACAGTGGTCACGTGAAACCTATGGATGAATCAGCGAGCAGCAAACTAACAACAGTTCCATCGAGAGCCTTCACTGTAACAAGAATGTTCAAGCTGTATGAATGACAGTGAAAGAGATAAGGCTACAATCATGGAGGACTTGGAACCAGTGACTGTATCTATGATATGTGCAGTCATATGCCAAAGTTTGGACACCCCTGGCCAAAAACACATTCTCTACAAGGAACAAACTTAAATATGGCATGTGTCTCCAAATGTTTGTGAATAGTTTAAACATGCCAAAACTTTTACATGAGCCACATTTTATGTTTTATTTTTTTCCCCAATATGTTAAATTCAGAAAATAAACATCAATTGTGTGTTAAAATGAGCAGAAGTGTGTTCTCTGTAGAGGATGTGAACTTATTTTCACTATAAAGTCAATAAAAACATTTGACTAGGGGTGCCAAAACTTTTGCAAATGACTGTATGCAAATTAAAGTGTCATTGTTTGGAACATGCAGCCACTGTTGCTCTTACTGGATGTCAATGATGAAAATTGATAACTGGGTTCAGGTTCAAGGTAATAAGTACATCATATTGAAAGTTATTTTGTCAACTCATATAGCTATAACACTGCTTTTAAAATATTGATAAAACAGTTACTGTAATTATTTGACTGCCCTAATCATGATATTGAGCATTTGTGAGGTTTGCAAACAAGTTGAAATGTACAAAATACACCAGTGAAACAGTGGTGCTACAAAGGCTACAATAACTATAAATACATGTTTTTTTATTTTAACATTTGCTAAGACTACATAAGTAAGAACAGGATAAAAAAATCAATTATATTAATTCATATAATAATATAATGGTATGATGGGCTGCCATCTGATCAACCTCTTGTTTCCATACAGTTTGCGTAGTTGCTGTACGCAGGTTGTTGTTATTGTTTCCAGAATTCTGTACAGAATAGAAGTCTTTTTTATGATACATGCTGTTGTTTAGTGTTCTAAGTGCTAATGAAACCCACAATGTACTCAGAAATGTGTATCGCATTGTAATGAAAACAGATCGTCATATTGCCCACCCCTAGCTACTCCTTTAGACCTGTTGTACTGTAATAATGTTTATCCAGAGACTCTTATTCACTCTGCTTCTTTGGATACTCTGTGTGGACACTTTCTGCCAACATCACTGCTGTTGTCTCATGAACAGAATTGCTGGTGACAGGATTGTTTGAAGTGTGGGCTGTCAGCTGTGTCTCTGCAGTCGTTTCATAATTTGTACTGATATTGTGCATTTATGGTTCGTTGCTGCAAGCCAAAGGCACTCAAAATCATATTGTTCATATGCAGAACAAAGCTGTCACTGTCACTGCATAGCCTACTGCTAGCCATACTTGGACCCATTTAAATTGAACTACACATATTAACCATGGATTTAATACATTTCTACCCATTGTATTTATCCTTCTTTTTTCCATTTTTATGGAGTCTTTTGTTTCCATTACTGGCAGATGCTGAAACAGCGCTGAAAATGACCTGCATGTGTTGCGTTAAATGCGTCATTTTTCCTAAAGAGCGCTCCACTTAATCTATGGCAGTTGTTTGGAAGCAGCTGAGGTTAAAAAGCAAAGTGAGGTTAGGATGATTTAAATGGGCCAGTGAGACAAACATGCTGTGTCAATTATTAAGGATGAAGCAATGGTGTCATTTAAGTTGCCCCATTTATCTCCCTATTTTCCTCCTGGCTAGGCTCTGTTTTTAGTGATTATATGGTGCTCTCTGTGCTATGATCTTTGGGGTGCTTTAATTTGGGGATAAATGATAATTGGATGAAAGATTTATAATCAGTTCCTTGTTTACATTGCCTTGGTGTTTAGCAGCCTAATTGGACAGGCATTAGTTGACCACCATTGTCTCGATAATTCCTTATTTGGAGTCCGTTTGTAACAATTGGAAAGCCCGGGTTCCGAATCAAAGTCCAACTAAGACAAAGGCACAAACTGTTGATTGTTGCATGCTAATCACGACCATTTCTACATAACGAGGAGCCTGAAATGCCAAATCTGATACAGCAACAGATGTTCTGCACTGCAGAACCCTATTCTGCCTCTGCCTATGCAGCCCTCTCCTGCTGCCCTGACTCCATCCCTCCAGTAACTTCTAACTCATGCTTCTTTACTCATGGTTGTATTTCTTTCTTTGTTTCTTTCTCTCTTTCTTTCTTGCTGTCCCTGTCATTTCTGCTTCTGTCATGCTCTCTCTGTCTTCCATTCCAGATACTAAAGCCAAAGATAATATCTATAGAAAACCCCCTATCTACAAACAGCATGGTACAGTCCGATCTGCGCGATCACCATGACTCCTTGCATGCTCTGTTGTATGATGCCATTTATCATGGTATCCTGTTGCCATGGCACCCAGTGGCCTTTGACCCTTTCTTTTGGTTCTGGCGTTTCCATCTCAGACTTTGCAGTATTGACTCAAATCTCTAGCCACATGCAAAACAACAACTTATTGGAAAAAAAAGTCAATCTCTTCATCTACTGAGACGTTTTGGACAAAAAAACTCACTAATCTAAAATCTTGAGTCATAATACAACAACTAGGTATGTGATCATTATGACTTAACTGGCTATGAAACATAGCAGTTTGATTGCCTTTTGTTTTTCCATTGTTGTTGTGGGTTCTGCTATATGATCATCTGACATGGAAACAAGCAGCAGACATGTATGTTTTATTTGTCCTTTTTTCATGCCTCCCTCCATTCATTCACAGCATCTGGTGTGATTGTTGTCATGTGACTTTGGCATTGAACAGTGTCTTATTTTGTGTGTGTAACTCATTGTACTGTATTGGGTGGTCAGTGGACAGCGTCTGTGCAATGTGTGGTGTTTGTCGTAAGATTCATCTTGTTCCTCTGTGGTTTGAATTGGTTTCTTTCATTTGTATCTTTTTTAATTTTCTTAGTTCGCATTCTTATATATGTTTTATATCTTTTGTCCTGGGTGTGTTGTGTCGTTCTCCTAATATGCTTGTTGGCTCTCAAGGTGTAACATTAAGTTTCCATCATTAAATGACAATTGCTAGATGTCTGTTGAAAATCATGAGCGTAGGTGATATTCTTTAGGTGAGGTTTTCTGTGGTGATTTTTTTTTAAATCATTGTGGAGCACCTTGCATGTTACTTTTGTGTTCTAAACAATATACATGTATAGGTCTTTATAAGAACTGCGGGTATATTTTAACTCTACAGCCTCCAGAGCATCTTGGCAAGATGGGGATGACCCAGACAGAAAGGTAAGCAATGTGTTTGTGCATCCATCCATCTATCCATCCATCCATCCATCCATTCGTTCATCCATCCATCTATCCATCCATCCATCCATTCGTTCATCCATCCATCTATCCATCCATTCATCCGTCCATCCATCCATCCATCCATCCATCCATCCATCCATCCATTTTCCTTCCAGCTATTTATATATATTACTGTCCATTGGTTAGTCACTTCACTCAATCTTACATCCTGCCATCAAACATCCAACATGCATTTAATTTCCTTCCTAAAGCCATGGAAATGTGTTTTTGTCCATGAGATTTCCCTCCTTATATCTATCAAACATTGACCCTTCCTTACACCCGTACTGATATTTGGATGTCTCTTTAGACCAGAACTAGTTGGACGATTCTAAAGAGTGAGATTGATGGACAGTCACCAGACATTGACCCCAGGACTTCCACCCACAGCCTGCCCACAGACATGTCTCAGCCCAGTGAGTAACCAAAGAAAATGCACTGCTGTCAGAGAAATTAACCCTTAGAAGTCAAGAGTTATCACTGTCGTTGTGCTATACTATTTAAATGAAATCACATAACCACACCTAATTACATTCATAATTGCATTCATTATGTAATGAATTATATTTTAAATTACATTCTGTAAAGGCAGCTTTGAGTCTGCAGTTTGACTTTTCTGTGAAGAAATGACAAGATGTGGCAAAATTGTAAAAGACGTCTTTCTTTACACAAAACAAGACCATAAATGTTCAGGAAATACCAATCATAATTCCAATCATAATAAAATGTCTCCTCTTCTACTTACAAATACAAAAGTGGTATTGAATTTTTTGCAGAATTTCTCTACTTGTTTCAGTAAGCTATGTGTGAGAAATAATTAATATCAAATCACAAAATACTTTAGTTATTGCTGGTAATATCTGACATTTCTGCACATCGTGCTTTGTCTGAAGGCTGAAAAACCTGAAGCACACAACACAGTCATATTTTCTTGAGCGTCACACTACGTTTTGAAATCTGATTCTGGCTTCGCATCTCCCTGTTACTAAACAACAGTAGCGTAACTGTCGGTCAACTGTGCTAGATTACTATTGTTTTGGTAGTATTGTTTCCTCTTTTAAATAGTAATCTACTGTTAATCACCACCCGCGACCCAGAACAATAAGTGGCTTAGGAAATTTGTCTGTGTGTGTATTAATTACCAAGTATGGTACTGCTAGTAAACAAGCTAAACTTAAAAAGGAACTGCTTTTTGTTTATGTTGTGCTAACTTAGATTTGTAAAATCATACAGTTCAAGGTACTCAACAACTGCAAGTGTCACTGCAGGCCTGCCTTTCTTTTGATCCGATTGGTCAGCACAGAAAAAGCACTCATAATGTAGGCCACTTGACCATGCCAAGGACAGCCGCACAACACACATAGAACATGAGGCGCCGTGTGCATAAAAACAGGTAGCCAGTCGCGTCTCTCCTGTTGAAAACAATGTAAAAAGGTGCTTGAACACATACAGCGTGAACCCTAATAAGGGTTGACCTATTACAGGTAACATTGTTAGCCAATCAGAACAGCCCCCACTCTGACACTGACCAATCCTTGAATAAATTACATCACTCTAATGATTTAATGATACAGTGCTGCATATAATTTACAGCAGCAATCAATAATCCAACCATTTAGTACACAGCCATGTCATTTTTCAGGCTGTGTTTCTGGGCTCTCAGTGTTACTGAACGGACTGTATATCACTGTAATTGTGCTGGAGATGAACTGGCTCTGGATGGTAACTGATTCATTTGCTTATTCTGCTGTCTGTTCCAGATTTCCCCTACAATAAGTCTGCCTCTCTGCCGGGTTATGGGCGAAACGGCATCTACAAGGTAAACTGCATTGCAGATATGTTTCACAAAGTCTGCAACCCTGCTTCTTGAAGTGACGCAAACACAAAACTGTTTTCTTGCTCTAACTGTGAGGTGACACCTATTCAACCTCTACATCTGTCTGCAATCTCTCTCCCTGTTTGTGTTGGGTGTAACGGCTGTGGTCACGTATGCTGTCTCTGGTTGCCTCAGTGATGAGGAATCTCGTTTGATTCTGGTTTGATTTGACAGTCACAGCTGTGAGGAAGGGGCGGAGAGTGATAGTCACACATGTGGATCATGATTCATTTACTGTAGCTCAGTTGGTCTGGGGAATTAGTCTGTGGAGACCTTATTAACTGTGTCTGTGAGTTTACTGTAAGTCATTGTACTGTCTGACTTATCCACGCACTGCTTTGATTTGATATCTGGCTGACTTACAGAAGATTATGAGGGGTTATAGGTGCATCTTCATTAAAGAGGAAATGAACTGTGTCTGTTGCTGTGGTGGTCTGCTTAGGGAGCACCAAAAGAGAATTAATCTCTGTTAATACCATAATGGTACGCTCTGTCACCAGCACCAGTGTGAGTCTGAAGCTGTTTGGCTTCTGTACACTAGGTGGTGGTATTTTGCATTTATTTTAAGTACATGCATTCTTTCCCACTGTTGGTCCTTTAATACCCCTGCTGTGTGAATTTTGACTCAACTCACAAGTCCTCAGTTTCACTATTTGTTGTGGCCCAGATGATGATGGTTTCCCTTTTTTGAGTCTTCCTTAAGTAGTAGTGCAGCATAATATTGACAAAATACCAGATTCCAGATTGCGATTATATTTTTACATATTACATTGACTTGCAGTATGTTTAGACTCACTGGTAACTCTTTGATGTGATTGGCCTGCATTGTTTTGGCCAAACTTATTTACATTTGTTAGATCACTTGAATGCCTTGAATCATCACAAAAACTCATCTGGAACATCTGAGGTTGGTCAGGATGTTTACAGCACAAAGAAAAAGGTGACTTTTTATTTGAAGGCAACCTACATAAGAACTTCATAACACATGCATAACCACTGATTAACATTTATAAAACCATAATTGAATATTTAGAAACAATGTATGTCAGTAATCATAAGATAAACCAGTAAAAGACATACAGTTTCTGTGAAGAAGACATGTGGCTGCATATGCTGGGAATGATGCTTCACAACTGTGTTGTAAATGGAATAAATTTTCTTTACTTCATATAACATCATAGGTTGTCCAATGAACAGAAGCCTTATGTATTCAGCTATTGCTTTATAAATTTTGCTTTGTAAATATTATTCAGTGCTTACACTTGTGTTAAGTCACTATGTAGGTAGCCTGAAATGTTACCTTAAAAAAAAAAGCAAAGAAAACAAACTGTTAGTGATCCTGTTTCCATATTGCTGCCTTCTGCCTTCTGGGCAGATCAACTAACAAACACTATATTGTGTTTTGCTCTTACTGAGTTTTGTCTGACAGCTGCCACTTGTTCATTAGTCGCCTGGACCTGCATTTCTGTAAAGCTGCTTCCTTACAATCAAATTTGATTCATAAGTTTAAGGAACTTGAACTTATTCAAGGATCAACTATGGGAAACACTGCTCTAAAAGCAGGGGTAGACCTTAGCTTTTTCTCCAGCACAGGGGCGCCCAAACGTTATGTCTTGGTCGGCCACAGTGTAATGTTTCTGGTGGGCTGAGGGCCAAAAAATCTAAACAATATACCAATAAAGAGGGTAGATGGAGTTTTCTATTAAATGAGGGGGTGAGGTTAGGGTGACTTTCTTGCAGGCCAAATCACACGTCCTCCTGGGCCAACTTTGACCCACAGCCCACACTTTGGGCAGCCCTGCTCTAGTCAGTGAGTAATGTACCTGATTGTACTCATTAACGTCTTGGATGTTGAAAATGATTGTCAGATTGGTTTAGTAAGATATTACCTGAACATAAACTTGAACCCACACAGGCCTCTCTCTCACTCTTCATCTCTCCATCTCCGTTTGATCTAAAGTGAACCTGCCTCAGTGTCACATTTCACACTTTCTCCAGCCAAGCAAACACAAAGGTGCAGTATGTGAAACAGAAAGCTGGCCCTACAGCAATATGTGTCAGCAAATACAGCAGCAACTCAAACCCAAAACATTACAGCCCCTCTTTACATTAAACTCTAACCTTTAACCTCAGGAAATGAAAGAGAAACATCAGCAGCTCCAACAGATGAATTTTACTGAGGCCATCCTGGCACACAGGGGGCTTTGAAAGAGTCTGAATATCATTTTCTCTCTCAATTTTTTTTCTCTGCCTGTCTTAGGCAGCTGATCTTGGAGAAGATGATCATGACTCCAACTGGGGCGCAATGAGAGGTAAAATACGTGTGTAGGCACTTGTGTTTGTGTGTGTTGTTTTTGACATAGTGTATTCTCTGCTGTAGTTTAGGCTTATCATTCACAAATAAATTAGCAGTTATTTTACCTCTAAGGCCACACTTAGGCAATTTTCCTCTGAAGTGGTAGTAAATGTATTTATGAAAAACCTTTGAGTAGATTTTCTATCAAGTATTGTCCAACACTACCCAACTGTGAAAATGAAAAATTAAATACACTCACTTTCAAAAGTTTGGAATTAATGTTTTTAATAATTTAAAACTAGTTTAGTTGCAGGCAAGTGAATTAAATTGTTGTAATCAGTCAGTCCTGTTCAACTTAAGCTATAAATAAAAATAAAATAAAAAATAAAAAAGACATTTTAGGTGTGTCCAGAAGGATGAATGGAGATATAGGACATTCTACACTGACTAGGAAAGCTGTATCTATTTAATTATAATACAATTAATATTCAGAATTTACCATATTTTAAAGGTAAAAGTGAATTCTCAAAGAGGATAAATGTAGTACATTTTCACAGAATTCTTGAAATATTAAATAAAATATCTAAAATGACCTGGTGGATAGATTGTAATATTTAAATCTACACCATATATGTTATATTTCACAAAATGTTAATATAGCAAGTAATTCCAGACTTCTGAACAGTAGTGTACAGTTACAAAAGTTAGAACACCCCCAGTCAAATTATGTTTTGTTGATTTTCTAAGTGAAAGTAAGATAACACATCCTCTACAGAGAACACACCAAACTATGACATTTTACTGCACATTCTCGTTTATTTTTTTTGACTACTGAACTACTGAAAAAAAGTTTTGCACAGGCCACATTTTGTGTTTTATTTTTTTCTAACATATTAAATATGGTGAATAAACAGTTATTGCTCATTAGAGGGCTACTTTATTTGCTTTTAGAAAATCAGCAAAACCTGGGGTGTTCAAACTTTTGCATACAACTGTACATTGTTATATGTATACATGTATATTCCAAAATAAAAAAGATATCATACTGTAATTTATTTCCACTATATTACTTTTTGTATTGATAGGCTTCATCTGTCAGACTGTTTGTAATTCCATTAAAGAGGAACTTAAATCTAATATCCCTCTTCCTGTTTGTCCCTCTCTATTCTCTTTTCTGTCTCCTGTCTCAGAGTATAAGGTAAGTTTGTACATTTTTGTGATGACATACTGATGACAGTGTTGATGTTTGCCTTCATTTTAGCATCGAAGAGTTATAAAATTGTGTCCACTTGTGCTGTTCTGTACCTGTTTTCTGTGTGTTTCTTTGTAGGTATACCCATATGACATGCTGGCTGTGACCCATAGAGTCAGAGTGAAGCTACCGCGTGATGTCGACCGCACCAGACTAGAGGTGGCGTCTCTTTGAAACCCCCTTAATCCTTAAAGCTTAAAGGGCCCATATCATAGGAAACTAAGTTTTCCTCACTGTTGAGATAAGAGTCTAATGTAGTATGTAAAAATTGTCAATGTTTCAAAACATACTATTCACTCCCTAGACCATGAAGTCCATATATGGAAACTAACCTGCTAAAACAGCCCAAAACAGCCAATTTTATTCTGTTGAAAACCAATGCGTTTACATATAAATGTTAGTCTACTGCAGTTTAGCAGTTTTCGTCCATTCACATTGAAGTTATAAGCACTGTTCCATTCTGGACTGCTTTTTGAATGAGGCACAATACAGGTCAGCCAATCAGAACACAGGTCATTGAAATATATTTATGTCTTAAAGGCACAGTAACAGAAACAGTCTTGTTTAATCTTAGTAAATAAAGGCTACTCTCACATTACCAGACTTAGGTGGCACAAACCCAATTTTTTGCCTTAATGTGACACAGAGCTCATGTGCATGCGAGTCATTTCGGGACCCCAGTTTATAAATTTGAGTCACCTACCTACATGAATGTGGAGGATCAAGTTAGAAAGATTGGATCTGAGCAAAAAACGTAATTGAGCAATGAGGCTTGTAGTGTGAACGTAGCCAAAGAAAGGTTGGAAAATGGTCACGTAAAGATGAATTATGACCATTTTTGGTAAATATACCTACAAAACTATCATAAGTGGACCCCAGGGGAAAAAAATACTAAATATCTTTCTTGCTCTCTGTATCTCTACATCATTGGGATCTGATTGATATCTGCTTTAATTGCTTGCCTCTGTTAAGATCATAAATGTTTAGCAATTGATAAGGTCTCTTGTCAGCTTCACCAAAATAAGGCAGCAATATTTTTCAACTTTGAGTTCTCCCACTGTATTCTGGATTTTATGCCATTTCTTTCATCCAGATTGTTGATTAGCCCAAGTACTCATCCAGTTCTGAGGCCGAGGGATCTGTGGAGATATTATTGCTGCAGAACACTGAATTATATTTTTTCCACATTAATGTGTAACTGGGTCACTGTGAGGCAGAAATCAGCCCTTTTTGGCTCTAACTGTAATGGAAGGTTATGTGTGATGATGTGTGGGTGCATGTATGTGTGCGTGTGTGTGTGTGTATGTTACTTTGTTTTTGTACATTTTCAGAACAAAAATGTCCTGACTGTGTAGAAAAAACAGGGAACAACAGGGTAAACTTACACATAGGTCACATTATTACACATTGCACATTATTATTATTGTGTATATGTTGTTTTCTATATATATATATATATATATATATATATACAAACACACACACATATATACATGTATATGGGACTATTATTACACATAGGTTGTTACGTATATATAGTGTATGCTGGGTATTACTATTGCATATAAGTAGTTATATATATTTAATACATATGGAAGATATTATTACTTATAGGTACTTACATATCCAATTCATACATATTGGACATATATATGACCCCATTATCTGATAATATAAAAACTAATTGTGTTTATGTGTTTGTGTGCGTGTGTGTGCGCGTGTGTGTGTGTGCGTGTGTGTGCGCGTGTGTGTTTATGGCTGGACTCAAAAATTCCCCACAGTTATCCACAATATTTCCTGAGTTTTTTCAGAATGTTATGACAGTGTTATCAGTGAGTGGGACTGGGGGAAAGAGGGGATGTGGCTGACTCTCTGTAACCTCAGACTGAATTATTAGCTTTTATCAACCCTGCACTCTAACTCTGTGCTTGGAATGTCTGTGGCACACAGTTATCTGTGTATGTGTCTATGTGTTTGTACTCACTTGTGTGCTCAAAAGCCTGCACTAGTTTGGATAGGATAGGCCTTCATTGCACAATTTATTTTCATTGTGTGTGAGGGAGTATAGTCAGCCTCTCCTGGGAGATGCTTACAACACTCCAGCAATAAAATGTATTACAAAAGCCTGGTGATTTCAGCAGTTTCATCTTTCTAGAGGACCATAAAAGCCACGCGCATCTGCGAGTGTTATTCTACCACACACAAGTAGGTCTGAGCTAATAAAGATTTATGCAAATCCACAGTGGAATGCCTCAAATCGAGCTCACGCCCTGTAAGCCTGAAGCCGTGCCCTAAGCGCTCTACTGTTCTTTACACACAGCATAGCTGTAATAACTCAATGTTTTAAGTAGGGATATAGGGTTGTAATTATTGCCATTACTATGTCATCAGTTCCGTTCTTTAATCCAGGATGAGACTCACTGCATGCAGATGATGTTACTAGAGCAAACATTCTGCAGTTAGAGACACTGGGCTGCTCCCTAGATTGGTTTTGATTAGGGTTTGATTAGCCCTTTGACAGCGTGTTGTTTTAGGCATTCACAACTCGCTGAATGCTGGTCTGCTTACTTGATTAGTTCAACTCTACTGCTGCTGTAATGGCTTTCATAACTTAACCACTATGTTGTCAAATAATTGGGGGAAATTGGATAAAAAGTTTAGTATTTCCTTTAATGTCTAGACAGATGAAACATATATGAGAATGTATGAAAGCCCAATTATATCTGCTGTTGTAGGAAAGAAATTATCAGTACAATATTAGTGCATCTTACTAGAAATTTAGGTTTACATTGGGATAGCCTACAATTTTCAAAAGCTCAAATACTAACCTGGTTTATTACAGCATAACAAGGATATTATTTTGTGATGTTATATTGTGTTAAGTGTCATAATGAATTATGTCAGGCTTAGCATAGATACTAGGTTATATTCTCACAGTTATTATTGCATTTCTACTTTGTCTTTGCCATATACTCTTAAAAATAAAGGTGCCACAAAATGATATCTTATAGCGAGGAGATAGAAGAAACACTTGGTTCCCTAAAGATCCTTGCAAACCATGAGAAAAAGAGATATGTTAGTGTGGAGAACCTTTAAAAGGTTTAAAAACGTTCTCATAATGTTAAAGGATCTATACCAAGTTTAGGGTTCTTCCTATAACCTATATGTGGAGATTCTTTAAACTTTAGAAAGGTTTTTTTTGCATTCATACATTTGCAACAAAGGTTCTCTAAAGAACCACCCACTAAGCTTTTAAAGGAACCAAAAGTTGTTCTTCACACCAAAGAACCCTTTTAGCACTTTTATTTTTAATAGTGTATCAAAACCATCTCCAAATTTATACCTTTATAGGAAAAGGATCCACAGTTTTAGCTTCAAAAAATATGTTAAATCAAGTAAATTTACACCATTTCTGTTGGTCTATTCATCATAAAATGTTTACACAATATAAAGAGCACCTTGTGTTTTCAAATGAATTTGCAGGGTTTTGCTATGACAGCAACAATATGTAAAGTTCACAGTAAGAAAGCTTTGTAATATCAAGTGTAAGAAGTTATTGGTTGTGATTTTGAAATAGTCTTAGCAACCATCTGAAATGTAACTCTCTCCCTCACTTTCAGAGGCACTTGTCACCAGAGGAGTTCTTCCAGGTTTTTGGGATGACCATTGAACAGTTTGACCGCTTGGCTTTGTGGAAGCGAAACGACTTGAAGAAAAGAGCACGCTTGTTCTAAAGTCCCCCCGGCGAACTGCTCTACTCATCTGGCCTGCGTATATGGAGAGATGAGGGAAAAATAAAATTATATATGCACTTCCGTTCTGCTGCATACTTGCTGTCATCTCATCTCACGCTGAAGAAGAGAGGAGCGTGCAGGACACTGTCACTTTTGCAGCCACAGTGTTAGCCACCTAGCTTTGTGTACAAATGCAACACTATACGTGTCTGAATGTTGTTCAAACAGGGAGGGAGGAAAGAGTGTGGACTCTATACGCCTCTGCTTCTGTCTTTGGGCTGTCTCTTTCTTGCTTATCTTTGTGATACATGCATTCTGGGCTTTAGAATATAAGCCACTTTCTCTACGTTTTTATACCGTTGGAAACCATGCCTGTCTTATCTGTGTTTGTGTGTATGCTAGTGCGTTGCTTCAGTGTGTTCTTCTCTTTTTAATGCTGTCAGATTGTCCAGGTTCTTTGTTTGCTCTAATGAAAAAAAAGCTTTGAATTTATTTGATTGAAATGTGTACATCATTGCCGCATGAATATATATTACAACACAATTGTTTCAGTTTTGCTATGTTTGGCAGTAATTGTGTTGATGTAATATGTCTTATTGGTGTGGAATCCTCTGTATGTACACATTTGAATTATGCACTGTAAAAAAGGATTTGTTGTTAACTTAAAAAGGTAAGTAATATGGCTGTAAGGTAGTCTCAGTTTGCAGATGCATTTGTTTTTTCTGCAATTAGTTTGGAAAATTGCCTTCTGCTAGACTTCATGCTAAAACAGTGGTGATTGATTGGTTATTTTACATGCCAGTCAAATGGCCCTTTCCTGTCAAAGTAGGCGATTCCTGGCCATGTTATGCCACAAAATACATGGGATACAAGAGAACCTGACCTTGTTAACTTAAATGTTTGAGGTCAGTGAACTCAAAATCCTACCAGGTTAACCAGGTTACATAATTTTTCAAGTTAAAAACTCACATAGTTTTTAGTGTGGCTTGCAATAATTTCTGAATAACATGAAATTCTAGCTTAGCAAGGTAGCAGTTAGAACTGTTTCTACTGATTTCAACTTAAATAACTTTCACATAGTGTGGTGACATAAATATATGACGCACTGTAGTTGTGCATCTCTCACTAAAGAAAAGCCACCCAGCTGAAATCGAGGTTTTTGTTGGTTCTGCTGTGTGGTTATAAATTTAATTTATCTGCTAATTTTTAAAACAAGCAGGCTTAATCAGAAATTGGTGGGGCATCACCCTTTTACTTTAAAAAGTGGTAGAATGCCAGCTAGCTTGCTGATCCAAGAGCAAACTAAAAAACAACTTTTTGAGGCAGCCAGGTTAACCTACTTTTCAAGATAAAACCATTTTTACAGTGTTTAAATTCAATGAATCACCTTTTACAGTGGTTTATCTTTATATGTCTGCGTCAGATGTCTTCTTCGGTCTGTTTCTCCTCTAAACTGTCTGTTGTCCTCCATTCATTTTTGCTTGCCCCTCTCTTCCTCTGCTTCCTCAACACATGACTCAGTTACAGCTTGGTGTGTGATACTTATCGTGCTATTTGGAGCTCGCTGGAAGCTCATTCAATCCTCTGGGGCTTCAGCATGAATGAGCCAAAGACTCTGCCTCAGCCTCGGCCAGCCAGAGCAACAGGTCAACCGTGTTTAGGTCAACACAACAGTGCACCTTATACTGCGTTCTTTCTGCCTGCCTTGCCATCGCTCCCTTTGCTAACAGTTGGAACATGCCTCAGCCTGTTGCTTTTGCGTGTCTTATTTTGGAGTGTCCTCACTGTGAGATTTAGTTTGCATCAAAATCACGATGAATCAATAAGCTAAATATGATTTTTCATGCATTAATATCCCTTATTATTTAAAGGCATAAACATCAGATTCATATTATCAAATGTTATGGCCACACTGTAGCCTTTTTGATTACATTTAACACATATAACATATAATGCACTTAAAACTTATTTTTCTACTCTACTTCTGTCTCCTGCGAAGCTCATGAAACACTTTATCACAGTTTGCGTATGACTGCAGCATTGACTTTAGCATGGAGACATGCCAAGGTTGTAGCATTTAGCCGCGCTAACCTACGCAGCACTTGTAACGCATGTGGTTCAGTGATGCTTCACTGAAAACCAAATACAGTTGAGTTTCGTTTTCTCTGGTTCTGAATAAATGTGTGTACATACAATATATAAATACCTGGAGCAGTTGCAGTGCCGCTTTGTTGGCATGCACTGTATGCAGTTGAAATTATATTAGTCATAACGAGTACTCTAGTATCTCCTCATACATGGGTGGTTTGGTTTTGCTTTGCATTGTGAACCAGATTTACTGCAGCCTTTATCACATTTTAATGTGTGAACATGAAGATGAACTTCATTTTCCAGTCATTCGTTATGTTTTGGAAATTGCAATTGCAACCAAATGTAACATGGACTAAAGGCATTTGTGCATTTAGTCCCATGAATGTGGCAAATGTGATGTGAGATTGTAGTTTAAGTAACAACAGCCCATCTAAAGCAGCAGTATCAGTTCAGGTACTGTGGACAGAATCTTATCAGATACTATCGAGTAATACAAACCAACCTGGCTCACCAATGTTTTCTTTTAAAATGATAAAAGACATTTTTCTTCTTTTCTCGAATTCTAACCTGTTAAATCCAGATGTATAAGATAAAGGTTCTATAGGCACGTTTAGTGTCTCATTTATTGAATATCTTCATACATAACTTCTATATCTTGTTCTATATCATAAAATCTTTATGTTTTAATATATTTTATTGCACAACAAGGCAATACACTATCCATTGCATTTATTTAACGTTACTGTAGAATGTGCACAAGCAGCTTATATGTGAACATTTTTCATGCAGTCATATCTGGGTTTCGCCAATCATGCCAAAGTGTTCCACTCACATGGTCGGACATATCTCTCATTTTTAGTATATTTGTGTGCACATGCATACGCATGCATAACCGGAAGGCTTCCCCAATGGACCATGCTGGGTTGGGTTGCATGGAAATTCTGCTTTAGTCTTATTTGAACAGCTGTAGGCGCTTGTGTTTGTGTGTGTATGTGTATGTGTGTCAGCATCCGTCTCTGGGAACGCGTCGGTGGATCACGTAAGATAAGTCAAGTACAGATCTTCAGGCTGCTTCATTGTTGTTCTCTCCTTGAAAAAACAGTGAAAATCAGAACCGGGCTTGTCCCACAGCCGATCAGCTCATAGATCTGCTTGCTTTGGTCGAGTCTGTGTTTTATGATACTCTGGTTTGCTTTTGAATTCAACCACCCAATGATGTAATCAGCAATTTTATTTTGTTTTTGTGATAGAAAACTTCATGTAATAAAAAAAAGTCTATCTGAGTGTGTGAAAGTGAGATATTGGAGAGTGGCCTAAATGAGCTGTGATCAGGCAATTTTAGAGGCCAGTGTAGCCACATTGCTGATTATGGTTCATACCTTGGAGTGAATAAGTTTAGCCAAACTATGTTTTTTATTTGTAAGTTTGGGACTTTTTTCTTCTTCTTCTTTTCTTTGTAAAAGTGTATTTGTTTTGCAAAACATGTTGAATGTAACACAAAAAAGACAGAGTTGCCAACCAGTAAAATTTGTTTGGGTTTTTTGTTTATTTGTTTGTTTTTTTGTGCTGTGTATGAATTAACACCTGCATATCCTCAGATATAAATCTAGGCCAATGCTGTCATTTTGATGTAGTTGTGGCTGAGCAAAAGTTATAGATTTGGGGAAATGTGAAGGTTTAAATCTATACTGTTACTAAGCCTTAATGGCTTTTTGTCTTCATTTGCTTTGCTGGTTTGCAAAAAGTACTGATGTTCATCTTTCAATAAATGTTTCATTCGGCTAGTTTATCCTTGTTTCTTTCAGCTAGTTGACCAGTGCTTACCTGGAAGAAAGATGGAGATAGATAGATGCCCTTCATATGTGAAGAAAACATGGTTTTTGCACACATGTTAAAAATTTGTTATCAAATGTGTGATCATGTGAAAAAATATGTGATCACATGTGAAAAGTTGTGATACTTGTAAACAATGTGGTTTTTGCACATTTCATTTGTAAGGGTAGGTAGGTAGATAGATAGATAGATAGATAGATAGATAAGTAGATAGATAGATAGATAGATAAATAAATGGATAGTTGAAGATAGATGCAGGTCAGGACAGGTGCACTGTAGTCTTTAATTCATTGTCCCACAGCCCTGGAGTGTGTAAATAGATAGATGGATGGATGTTTGTAGTCCAAGTGAACGCTCTCCCTTATCCGCTCATATCTTGAGAGAGTCTTATAAAGCGAAGAGACCACACCTCCAGCCTACTGCTATTGGCCGCGTATCAGTGTGGCCCGTCGTCTGATTGGCTGCTTCAGCTGTCAGTCTCTCCGTTGTTTGACAGTCTGTGGTGCGCGCCCCCTTCATCAGCGCTGTGTCTCTCTGAGTGCTGGACGGAGCTGCGGTGGACATTCATCAGTGAGTGGACGTTCAGCCTTTATCAGCCCATCAGCGAGGAGCACAAAGATGACAGGAAACAGCAGTAAAGGTAAGCGGGGGCGATTCACACGGCTTTTTCATCCGCACATTTACAGCGGAGAAATCTTAGAGCAAACTTCCATTGTTGCCAGTGCAGTGAGTTTGTCACTTTTGGCTGTAGAGCTGCCTCTCTTCACGCCTTCCAGTCGATGCTGAAACCTCTCAGTAGTTTTAATTCAGCATGTCCGGACAGCCGGGTTTAACCTGATGATGAGGTAGACTGCTATTGTTCACTGGTTGCTCATTCAAGCACGTGCAGCCGCGACGTGCTCTCAGTCAGACGGTGATTTGGCTCTGTGTAAAGCTCAGCTGCAGCTTTCAAAGCACAAAGGAGCCGTAGAGCACCGGGGGTTGATCTCGTGGCTGAAACCGGTGGGATCAGCTGGTGAGGCGAGACAAACCCCCCTGTCCTCCCCCCTACCCCACCCCGGGGCAGAGAGAATGATAATCCTGAAGGGGGAGGGTGGACACCCTTTAAAAACCCAGAGGAAGGGCTGCGTGGGAAGAAATTATTTAGAACAAATCCAATTAATCTAGTACAGTAGACACGAGGAGGCGCTTATAATTGGCAGTGAGTTGGATTAATGTTTTGTGTGTGGGTGGGTGTGTTTAATAGGATGAAAAATAAACCCATAGAGACCCATTCAGTGTACATTATAGGCTCCCAAAGTACCTGTCTATCTATCTATCTAGCTATCTATCTAGCTATCTATCTATCTATCTATCTATCTATCTATCTATCTTTGACCTATTGCCTGTTACCTCCTTGTTTACTCACCTTACTATTGTCCCCAAGAGGAAGTTCTTATTTTTATGCTGGATGTTTGGGTTTGCTCTATGTTTATGTGCATGTTGAAGTTCAGTGAGGATGTTTTTCAGATCCAGTTCAATCCGCGTTTTTCTCCCACGAGCAGTTAACAATGGACCAGGCATAAACTGACATCCTGTTTATAGCCAACTGATTGATTTTGGACTGTAGTGACACCAGAGGATTGAGGCACAAAGTCACTGAGACACCACCCTGTCTCTCATGTCCTATTAGCCTGACCTGCTCACAATAGTCAGACAAGGTCATACAATCAGAAAGAATCCACTGGTGCAGGCCAAATACAACCAGGCCGGGAATATGATCTCTTTTGGAAAAACACAGATAAGACACAGTTTGGACAAAGCTCAGGCCAAGAAGAGAAGGATCTTTGATCGATAGCCAGTGATGGGTGTGTCCCAGCATCTCAAGACTCCTTTTGAAAAGAATGTGAATGGCACCCATTTATATTTCAGAGTAATTTTTGATTTAGGATAAATCCCCCCGTACAGATAATTCTGTTTTATTGAGGTTAAAGATAAATGCTGGTGAACAGCACTCTTACTCTCAGAAACTATAATACCACCAACCTTAGTCTGGTGGGCAGTATGAAGGGTTTAGTTGAGGTCTGCAATGAACAGTAGTGGCATATCCACCACAGAGAATAGTCTCAGCCCCAAAATTTGTTGATAATGATTTGGAAGGTTTAGATGTAAACAAAATCACTTATAGTAATAAGTGTATGCTGTCTTGTTTTCAAAATGGTCATATAAAGGTATATTTTCCTTTCTCCTGTTACATGAAGGTAATTTCGAAAGTGCTTTTGGTTTGTTGTCTTGGTTTTTATTGGGCTTTAAACACAGTGAATTTGCTGGGTTTTATGGTACATCTTTTAAATTAGGCAGTCTTGCTTCCTTTACCCAGCAGGTGATCTCTCGGGAACAGGAGCAAACAATTAAAGTCCATACATTCAGGCATAGAGGATCCAGACTATGCCATGCAGTGTTGTTGTCTTTGAAAGTGAACCAAGGAGATTGTTTAACTAGCTAACTGAAAATATGTTGACAGTAAGTGAAATTGAACTATCTACGTTCTGCCCATGTGTGTTTTTGTAGCAAAAAAACAAAAGGCAAACTCACTATTACACATAATGGGAAAATATGACTGGGTAATATAACATTATTTATTGTTATCATTATTGTTATTGCTATCATCCGAGTGGCGCAGCTGTCTAAGTTTTGGCTCTATCATTAGGACAGGACATTGTAATTTGGATCCTCGGTGATGCTACAGCCATCCATGGCTGGGAGTCCAAGACAGCACCTCTCTGGGTGGACAGGATGGCCCCACCTCTCCCCCCAAAGACTGCATAATTATTCCTGTTTAATTTGATTTAATGCAGCCTGGTATGTAAAATGCTGAATACAAATCATTGTATTCATAGTTTTTGATACTATTTTTGTGTCATGCATCCCTCTGGCTCTGACAAACTGAAGGACTCCATTTCCCAGAATCCAATACAATATACTTTGTGAGGTATTGCTTCTCCTAGTAGAGCTACTGAGCATTTCCTGTATGCTATTTTGTCATATTGTCTTCTGACTGTGTTTCTGGATTTTCTGACTTTGACTTTTTGCCTTTTCACCTTTTTGGATTTGGTTGCCTGATCACTTCTTTGTTATGTTTGTCCTTTTCTGTATTTTGTCATTTTTGAACCTGGCCTACGCCTGTTCACCGACTGTGATTCTTGTCCAAAATGAAGTAAAGCCTCATTACTTGTTTTTTAGCATGAGCGTCTGGCTGGTTCTGTCACATTACATTTTAATGTGCCACTGCTTTGTCTGTTAGAACTTACACGAGAAATAAATATTGTGACATTTCGTGTATCATGAAAACCTCTTGCAATATCATGATATTACATTTTTGCCATACCGCCCACTTCTATGGGAACATATAGTACACAACTGCAGGTTTAGCAAAAATGTGTAAATTATTTGCATTTGTGGGCAGAGGATGGATTAGCCTGTTGCATTATATGCTAAACAAAGTCTGTATATGCCAACCCTGCTCCATCTGACTGAACGGAAATGTGCTGCATAATTAAATTAGATTATACAACAACTCAATTTTGAACGTACCGAGAAGCATGCGGCGGAGAGAGCCATAGCAGAAAAGGGGGTGGACCTGGTGAGGAGAATCAGACACAGCATCACTCATCACAGCTGAAAGTGCTTATTGTTGTTTTCATCCTCACTCACATATGTAACTCACTCGCCACAATTGAACAAAGCACAGTGTGGAACATGTTCCTTTACCACAAAATTTACAGCTTGTTGTCAGAGGGCTGCTGGAGTTATTCAGGTTCAGGCAGGGTCATGGAGGCCAGGGAAGAGAATCCTGCCCTGCTAAGCAAGCATTAGCATGTTCATATACGCCTCATTTCAGGCATTCTGTGAAGAACCCACATGCGGTTGGTTTGGCTGCACAGTGCATTGCGGTGAACCTGACACTGGAGCCCTGTCACTGCACCCATGATGAATATGAATGATAAAAAAAACTCTTTGTTTCAGTGAAGCTGGGTTCTATAGGGGAAAGCTGGTGATATTTAATCTGTATGGAAGCAGATAGCCTGGCAGCTGGCCTGATTCTGCCTAACGTATTGACTCTTGTGGGCTTCGATGACATCACCATTGGACATCTGGGCCTACATAGTCGCAGCTTGTGTGTGTGCATGTGTAGGTGTAAGGTAAATCTGCTGGTGAGTATCCTGGTGAGAGATTTTGCTATCAACAGACAAACAAATACAAACTATGTTCGGCTTCAGATTATGATAAAAGTCTATAATTCCAGTAAGCAAGAGTTATGGTTAGTCTTGCTAGCTGCAAGTGTGCAGATGTGCTGGGCAGAGTGGACTGGTATAAATGTGAGATACAGTTATTTTGTCTTACTGTGTAGCTACAGATGTAGCTACATTGTAGCTGTCATTAAAAATGCCCACTCATTACCATAACCACAGGAAAAAAGTGAACACAACACAGAATCACCTCATTTAACTTTTTACAGCACTATAGGTGAAGAGTTGAAGATGGCAGTGCTCTTGTGGTTTATCCACAGTACTGAACCTTGTTTACGTTACCATGGTCATCTTCTACTACTCACTAGTTAGGTGATTAACCTATAGAAGCTCGCACAGCTCAGTTATGTTCTCATCATTAGAAGAAACAATGAAGCATGCGAATGTTGTGTTTATTTATTACAGTGAAAAAAGCATCTTTTCATGCCTTTTTGCATGAACAGTGGCAGCATGCAGCGGTGTAAACATTACCATGGTGACCAAAAATCGATGATTATCTAAGCAGAGCTTTGTCAGTCTCTTTTATTTATTTAAGGGGGAAAATTGTCATAAGGATTCAAGACCTCAGCACCTTTACCCATGACAACCATACATTTTATAATAATTTATTTTTATAAATTATTTTAAATGATCAACATTTTCATGATCCGCTGAAAAGCCTACTT